AGGAATGCAAGGTTGGTACATAAATAAATTGAGAGACAAAAATCACATAATAAAAAAATCAATTAAAAATCACAATCATATCAATTGATGCAGAAAAAGCATTTGACAAAATCCAACACCCATTCTTGATAAAAACCCTCAGCAAAGTGGGAATAGAAGGATCATACCTCAACATAATAAAAGCCTTATGTGACAAACCTACAGCCAACATCATACTCAATGGGCAAAAGCTAAAACCATTTCTCCTAAGAGCAGCAACCATTTCCCCTTAGAACAGGAATAAAACAGGGATGCTCCTGTTCAACATAGTACTGGAAGTGCTATCCATAGTGCCCAGACAAGAAGAAGAAATAAAAGGCATCCAAATTGGAAGAAGTAAAACTGTCATAATTTGCAGATGACATGATACTGTACATAGAAAACCCTAAAAGCTCCATCAAAAACCTACTAGACTTAATAAATGAATTTGGTAATGTAGCAGGATACAAAATTAACACCCAGAAATCTATTGCTTTTTTATACACCAATAATGAACTCACAGAAAAAGAAACTAAAAAAAAAAAAATCCCATTTACCACTGCAACGAAAAAGTTAAGATACCTAGGAATAAACTTAACTAAGAAGGTAAAAGACCTGTACTCAGAAAACTATAGGCCATTGAAAAAAGAGATAGAGGAAGACATAAACAAATGGAAGAATATACTGTGTTCATGGATTGCAAGATAAACATCATTAAAATGTTCACACTACCCAAAGCAATCTATAGATTCAATGCAATCCCCATTAAAATACCAACAGCATATTTCAAAGACCTAGAACAAACTCTCCAAAAATTCATATGGAATAAAAAGACTGTTCTCAAAACTGCCTGGTACTGGCACAAGAACAGACATATAGATCAATGGAACAGAATAGAGAACCCAGAAATCAACTTACAACATTATGCTCAATTAATATTTGACAAAGGAGGCAAGAGCATTAAATGGAGTCAAGATAGTCTTTTCAATAAATAGTGTTGGGAAAATTGGACAGATACATGCAAAAAAAAAAAATGAAACTAGACCACCAACTTACACCATACACAAAAATAAACTCAAAATGGATAAAGGACTTAAACGTAAGATGGGAAACTATAAAAATCTTAGAAGAATCCACAGGCAGCAACATCTCAGACATATGTCATAATAATGTCTTTACCGATACAGCTGCTAGGGCAATGGAAACTAAGGAGAAAATAAACAAATGGGACTACATCAAAATAAAAAGCTTCTGCACAGCAAAAGAAACGAGCAACAAAACAACAAGAACGCCCACTGCATGGGAGAACATATTTGCCAATGTTATCTCCAATAAGCATTTAATCTCCAAAATTTACAGGTAACTCACACAACTTAACAAAAGGAAGATAAACAACCCAATAAAAAAATGGGTAAAGGACCTAAGTAGACACTCTTCAAAAGAGAACATATAGAAGGCCAAGAGACGTTTGAAAACATGCTCAGTCACTAATCATCTGAGAGATGCAAATCACAATGAAAATGAGATACCATCTCACTCCTGCCAGAATGGGTATCATCAACAAATCAACAAATGACAAATGCTGGTGAGGATGTGGATAAAAGGAATCCTCGTGCACTGCTGGTGGGAATGCAGACTGGTGCAGCCACTGTGAAGAACAGTATGGAGATTCCTCAAAAAATTAAAAATGGAACTCCTATTTGACCCAGTAATCCCACTTTTAGGACTATATCCCAGAAAATCAGAAACACCAATCAGAAAGGACATACGCACCCCTATGTTCCTAGAAGCACAATTTATAATAGCTAAGCTTTGGAAACAGCCTTAGTGTCCTCCAGCAGATGAGTGGATTAAAAAACTGTGGTACATCTACACAATGGAATACTATGCCGCTATAAAAAAGAAGGAACTTTTGCCATTTGCAACAGCATGGATGGACATGGAGAGCATTATGCTAAGCGAAATAAGGCAGTTAGAGAAAGATAAATACCACATGATCTCACTCATATGTGGGATATAATGAGCAACATAAACTGATGAACAAGAATAGATCCAGAGACAAATGGCAGGGGAGGGGGGTTAGAGAGCAACCAAAGGACTTGTATGCATGCATATTAGCATAACCAATGGACACAGACACTGGGGCAGTGGGGGCTTGCTGGGGGTGGGAATGGCTGGGGGGCTCAGTCTGGGAAAAAGAAGGCATATGTAAAACTTTAGACAAGAGAGAAAGAAAGAAAGAAAGAAAGAAAGAAAGAAAGAAAGAAAGAAAGAAAGGAAGGAAGGAAGGAAGGAAGGAAGGAAGGAAGGAAGGAAGGAAGGAAGAAAGGAAGGGAGGGAGGGTGGGCGGAAAGAAAAGAAAAGAAAAGAAAAGAAAAGAAGAGAAAAGAAAAGAAAACAACAACAATGGTGGTACTTCTACACAATGGAATACTACCCTGCTTTAAATAAGAAAGAACTCTTACCATTTGCAACAGCATGGATGGACATGGAAAGCATTATGCTAAGCGAAATAAGCCAGTCAGAGAAAGATAAATATTACATGATCTCACTCATTTGTGGAATATAATGAACAAGATAAACTGATGAACAAAAATAGACCCAGAGATGGAGAAGAATCGAACAGACCATCAAACTTCGGAGGGAAGGCAGGGGAGGTTGTGGTGGGGGGGCGGGTAAGAGTGCAACCAAAGGACCTGTATGCATGCATATAGCATAACCAATGTACATGGACACTGATTGTGGGGTTCGGGGGTGGGGAGGGGTACATGGGGGAAAAATGAGACATATGTAATACTTTAAACATTACACACACACACACACACACACACACTAATAAAAGGGTAATATGCTAATTAGAGTGGACATCTTCTGGACAAAGCCACAGCAGCTGCCTGAGGCTCAGGGAAGCCACGGATGGTGGCTGCCACTGCCAGGGCCAGCTTGAGGCTTAGGCAAGCCACGCATGGTGGCTGTCGCTGAGAGGGCCCGAGGCTCAGGCAAGCTGCAGTGGCTGTGAGGGCCGAGGCTCAGGCAGCTGTGGGAGGCAGCAGCAGTGAGGGAATGATGGGGGCAGTGCTTTCCCCTGATCGGCTGGTCACCTCCCACAGAGGGAAGCCAGACTGCAGCTTAGGCCCGCTGCCCATGCGGAGCGGGCCTAAGCTTTCAGTAGGATATCCCCTGAGGGCTCCCGGACTGTGAGAGGGGGCAGGCCAAGCTGAGGGATCCCCTCCCAACCAGTGCACGAATTTTCATGCACCGGGCTTCTGAAAACATGTGTACGTGCTATTTAGAAAACATGCTACATGCTAAATTCATTTAGTCTACGTACTAAATAGCACGTAGCATGTTTTCATACGTCTCTTGGCCTTCTGTATGTCCTCTTTTGAAGAGTGTCTACTTAGGTCCTTTGTCCATTCTTTTATTGGATTGTTTATATATATGCATGCTAGAGGTCAAATGCACAAAATTCGTGCACTGGTAGGGTCCCTAGCAGCTATTGGGTGGGTACTCCCTCCCTTCCCCAGGCCACCTGCTTCCCCCGGGGCCTCCCTCCCTTTCCCTGGTCACTTGCTGCCGCCACCACCACAACCACCATCACCATCGCCACTACAGGCCAGGGCCTCCCTCACTTCCCCTGGCTGGCCCCGGCCCCTGGTTGAATTCTCGGACAACTCCAGGTCGAGGGGACAATTTGCATACTATGCTTTTATTATATAGGATATATAAAATAAAGAAAAATAGATGCTGAAAAAGCATTTGATAAAATCCAGCACCCATTTATGATAAAATCCCTTAGATAAGTGGGAATAGAAGGATCATACCTCAGCATAATAAAGGCCATTTACAACAAATCTGCAGCCAACAATATTCTCAATGGGCAAAACTAAAAGCATTTCTCTTAAGATCAGGAACAAAATAGGGATGTCTGCTTTCACCACACTTATTCAACACAGCACTGGAAGTCTTAGTCACAGCAATCAGAGAAGAAGAAATAAAAGGCATCCACATTGGAAAGGAGAAAGTAAAACTGTCATTATTCACAGATGATGTGATATTATACATAGAAAACCCTAAGGACTCCACCAAAAAGCTACTAGATCTAATAAATGAATTAAAAAAAGTAGCGGTACACAAAATTAATAGTCAGAAATCAGTGGCATTTCTATACACCAATAATGAACTATCAGAAAGAGAAACTAAGAATCCCATTTACTAATTCAACAAGACAAAAAATAAGGTACATAGGAATAAATTTAACCAAGGAGGTAAAAGACTTGTACTTGAAAACTATAGGACATTGAAGAAAGAAATTTTGGAAGATAAAAAGAAGTGGAAGCATATACTGTGTTTATGGATTGGAAGAATTAATATCATTAAAATGTCCGTACTACCCAAAGCAATCTATAGGTCCAATGCAATTCCTATAGTAATAGAATGTTTCACACATCTAGAACAAATATATCCCAAGAATCCTGAAACACCAATTTGAAAGAATATATGCACCTCTATATTCATAGCAGTGTTATTTACAATAGCCAATATCTCAAAAAAGCCCATGCTCATCAGTAGATGAGTGGATAAAAAGGCTGTTGTACAATGGAATAGTATGCAGCCATAAAAAGGAAGAAAACCTTACCTTTTGCAACAGTATGGATGTACCTGGGAATTATTATGCTAAGTGAAATAAGAAAGTCAGAGAAAAACAAATACCATATGATGTCACTTATATGTGGAATCTAATTAAGAAAATAAACTGAAGAGCAAATAGAAAAAGAGGCATGGATACATGGAATAAACTGATAGCTGTCAAAGGTGAGGGGGAAGAGGGGACTGGATGAAAGAATGTGAAGGGATTAGCCAAAGGAAACCCATAGACACAGTGTGGTGCTGGCCAGAGGGAAGGAGGGAGGTGAGGTTTGAGTGGTGGTGGGCAAAGGCGGGGGGAATGGGGACATCTGTAATAGTGTCAAAAATAAAAATAAAGTTATAAATAACTTTTAATCATGTATAAAAATAAAATAATTGATAAGTGGCAAATTTCCCTTGAGTTCATAGATATTGTTAAAATAATACATTCCAGGACCCTTTAGACAGATGGATAAAAGCCTTCTGTAGTATTGATGACAGAGATGCTTCAGTGAGGAAGCTAGTGTAAAAATAAACCTAGTTTTCTGCTGGTGCAACAGCTGGGTGCTTAAGAGGGAAGCCAGCTTCAGCATGAATGGGCTGTCATGGAACCCTATTTCTAGTTGTCAAGGCAGCAAGTTTAGCATCTTCTTCCAACATCTTGGTAACTGAAAGGAAGAAATTGAAATGACTTACTGAAGGATTACTTAGAGAGCAAGTAATTTAAAACGGAACACCAAAGTGAGGTATAAAAAAGGAATATTTATCTTTCAAAAATACAACTTTGAACACTACTGACATCTCATTTACAAAGTATTTTCCTGAAATACTCATTGGCTTTGCTTACTTAGTACATTCAGTTATTTTGAATCACAGCTCAAGGGAGGGCATAAGTATGTTCTTATAAGCACCACCAATACCAAAAAAGAAAAGATCATCTATGCCTCAGGATATTAGCCCCAAATCCTCATTTTCCCCTTTCTCTTCCACCAAGCAGGACCTCTTGACTGGTCCACCCACACTGACATTGCAATCTGGAGATGTCCATGGCACTCCAGGTGGAGGTGACCTATTTGCAGGAAGCTTCACACACACTGGCCCAGTATTCATTCATTCATTACCAAGAGTTTTCTACTAATACTCATATCAACTCTTTGCAAACATTCAGCATGAAGTAAACAGTATTTACAGCAGTACATACTTTGCAATTCAACACACTGACAGTAGAAGAAAAGGGATCAACAGATTTTGTACTAAGGCCAGAGGGAAAACATATTAAAATAAATCTCTTTTGCTAATGTGTGTGTGCACATGCGTACATGCACACACGTGTTTTAACTCAGAAAATTAAACATGCCCTCCTTTAAAAGCAGACTATTTACAGGGTGATTCTAAATAGCACGTACACATGCCAGTCATACTGGAGACTTGCTTTCTGCACATACGTGGAGATTTGTGTTTTGTTTTGTTTTTTTTAATTCTGAAATAAACTTTTTATCTGCTATATTAGAGAAAATAAGTTCAGAACAGTTGTCAACTTTTGTTTGACAGTAATTTGCAAAAGCCACATGTCATGCTTTGTCTTTTAAAAGGCGAACCTGGTCAAAACCTTCTAGAAGACTGATGTGTTATTCACTTACTAGGGATTGGAAAGACAACATCAGTTATGGAGTACCTAGTGCTCCTCACATTCCTCTCACCAGTAGCAACATTAATGTGAACAGAACTTTTGAAACACAAATCACCAAAATATTTCAGTTAACAGTGTTTAAAAAATACTGAAGTCTACAACAGTAGTACAGACATCGAAAACACCCCAAATATTCTTTAGCCTCAGGCCTTTTTCAATACTACTAATAAAAAAGACAATTGACAGAAAGGGAGAAAGTTACAGCACTTGAGGTTTGAGTAAATTTCTTCTTAGGGCCTGTAGCTTGAGGTGCTGCTCTAGGATCCTTATTTTAAGTCAAAATAGATTCCAGGGATGAATTGACAAATTTAAAGCAATTTCCACTGGAAACCATTGAAAATACAAATCACTTTCTAAGCTTGTCCAACACACATTTATTTTCAGGATCCCAGATTGTTAGGTAGATGAATTCAGGTCAGTTTCAAGCCCTCAAAGCCACAGAATTTCCATCTCTTCTCTAAACTGGCTCCAACTCCAGTCATTTCTTGCTTGAAGGTATGCTGAAGTCTGCTCATGAGACATTCCACATCACTGGTGCAGATCTGTGGGGAAGAGAGCACATCTCTATTCAAAATCAATTTTACCTTCCTAATCTGGTTCTCCCCCCCACACACACCCATGTTGCTTACTTTAGGATGCTGATGCGTACATGTACACTGGAGTGGGGTTGACTTTGTCCCCCTCCTTATACATGTGTATGTATTGGGTGAGTGGCTTCTGGATGGCAGCCTTCTTCTGTTGTGATCACTAGACAGAGTTTACTATTTGTTTATGTATTTCATAACTGCTTTACTAAATAAAGCATAAAGTATAATTCACATACAATAAATTCACTTATTTCACATACTGATTGATGAGTTTTAGTAAATTTATACTACTGTATAAATTTTTATATGATATATAATTTTATATATGTACCACCACTTTTTTATTCACTCATCTATTGATGGGCACTTGGGTTGCTTCCATATCTTGGCTATTGTAAATAATGCTGCAATGAACATAAGGGTGCATATATTATTTTGAATTAGTGTTTTGAGTTTCTTCAGACATATACCCAGAAGTGGAATGGCTGGGTCATAGGGCAGTTCCATTTTTATTTTTTTCAGGAACCTCCATATTATTTTCCAACTCTGAGATTTCTGTTGGAAAAAGCTGGTATCAGTCATAATGGAGAGGCTTGGGTTTTAATCAGCTGAATGGCAGAAGATCAATGTTAGTGATGCTATGTGCAGGTCTACCAAAGCTGCAAAGCCTTTTGGGAAGGGAGTGAGGCAGAAATGTCTTCTCCAGAATTCTCCATACATGCATTGGTTCACAAAGGAAAAGTGAACTAATTCTGTGTATTGTCCCCCTCTTCTCTCTCTCTCTCTCTCTCTCTCTCTCTCTCTCTCTCTCTCTCTCTCTCTTTCCCTCCCTCCCTCATACACACACACTCACTCACTCACTCACTCACTCACTCACTCACTCACTCACATCAGTATAAGAACAAAAACAAATCTGTGGACCCCTTTAAGGCTTGCTAGACATGGTCATTTTTATGCTGGTAGCAACATTCCTAACTGTGAACCTGGGCATGAGGGCTTGACAGAAAAGCAGCAGGGAATCTTTATAGAAACCCCAAATTGCTACCACGCTAAATATTTCTGGAGCTAGAGGGAGGGTCCTCCTCAGTTCTGTTGGTACAACTATAGGCTCTCTTTGGGAGGGTCTGGCATTACTCTGGCAGGAAGCTGCTCAGGAGGACCTGGGTCTGGATAGGAGGGAGATCAAGCTTTCTTCCCAGTGCTGGTAGTGACTGTATTCCAGTTAAGTGAAATCACATTGCAAAGTATCATATAGAGTTGAATACCCATTTCAGAAAACACAAATACTTAATGTTTACTCATATATACATATGATATAGGTGAGACATATGTGTAGAAAAGGGTCTGAAATAAAGATATGCCAAACTGTTAATAGTGGTTATCCTTGAGGGGTTGGGTTGTGAATAACTCTCCTTTTACTATATTTCTATATGAATTACATTTTTAGATAATATGTATGCATTATTTTTACAATTTAAAAAAGAACCAGATAATTTATACTGATATATAGTTCAATTTTATACCACTTCAACTGACCACTTGGTCCTGGTGCTCACATTCCATCCCTCCTTTCACTGCCAAATGGGCCGTTTAATTGCAAAATAGCATCATTTCCCAGAGAGTAATGAGGGGAGTGCAAGCTAGAAATGAAACAAATGCCACAAGGAGGATGTATCATCATAGCTAGATTCCCAAATGGGCCAGTGCCTCTGTGAGAGCACATATGCCTAAATGACTTAACATCCAAGTGCAGGAGTCTGCATTCCAATGGCACTTCTCAAAAGACCTGGGTCCTGTGAAATAGTGAGTACAATCAATGAGCAGGTTTAACTGAATGCTGCTTCTGAAAAAAAAAATCTATCATGAGTTTATTTATTCTAAGGAGTCAAGAGTTCCCTCCTCCTTCAGTGAGGCATCCTTGACCTTCTAGGGAACTAGCACTTACTCTTGCTCCTGATGCTTTGTGAGTTCCTCCAGAGGATGTCATCCAGGGAAGGAAGAAGCCCACGAGATTGGCTGTGAGCAAATATTTAGTCTGTGTTACAGACTTATTGTTCCATGTTTTGTTGTTTTGCCCCTGCCCTGATTGTTTCATCATAGACGATGGCAGTGGTGATGGTGATGGTTGGGGAGGTGGCTGGAGTAAGAGCTCCAATTTGAAAAATTAACATTTGTTCACTGTTATAGGCCCAGGGCAAAAGATTGATTTGTGAGAAACATTGGTTAATTTATAGCTTACAGTAAATTAAGAGAAAGGACATTAATTCCTTTAAGGTGTATCTTGGAAGTTGGGTGGCCAACTCATTCAGGTTTTCCCAGGATTTCCCCAGTTTTAGCATTGGAAGTCCTAAGTCCCAGGAAACCCTGCAGTCCCAAGCAAACAGAGATAGATGGTCATCCTACTTGCCAGAATGAGGCTCCACACTGAATCACAGTAATAGAATAGGTGAGGGACATTTCCTTAGAGCAATTACTAATGACTTATCTATGCTTGAAGAGAGTAAGGTCACCTCTTCCCAAAGAACTCTAGATCCCATTCCAGGTTCCCACATACCTTATTATCTAGACGGTGCAAGTAGGAACAGATGTATTCAATGCTTGCTCCAAATGGGTGAACATGAAGGAATGTGGAGATAATCCCTATAAAGGCAATACCATGGAGGTTACACTTGAGATGCCACATTATAATGTATAGAAAGAGCTAACTTATTATGTACAACATGCATGTCAAACTTGCAGCCCGCTGGCCATGAGTTACAATAACTATGTACTGGGCACTATTTTAAATTTACATCTATCTTATTCATTTAATCTTTACAACAGCCCTGTGAAACAGGTATTACCATACCCATTTCATAGATGAGGAGCCACTGAGGCACAGAAAATTTAAGCAATTTGCCCAAGGTCACACAGCTGGTAAGTGGCAGGGCTGGTATTTGAATCCAAACAATCATTCTTAGTTTTTTTTTTTTAAATACATTTTATTGATTTTTTACAGAGAGGAAGGGAGAGGGATAGAGAGTTAGAAACATTGATGAGAGAGAAACATCGATCAGCTGCCTCCTGCACACCCCCTACTGGGGATGTGCCTGCAACCAAGGTACATGCCCTTGACTGGAATCGAACCTGGGACCTTTCAGTCTGCAGGCTGACTCTCTATCCACTGAGCCAAACCAGTCAGGGCTAGACAATCATTCTTACCATACTGCCTCTTACCACACTATATAACGTGTAGAAAAGCTGGCATTTGAGAATTAATTTCCATCATTTTTGATGGCTAAAGATTACCTGAGTTCTACATTTTACAAGGAACTTAAAATTTTACAATAAATTTAGATTTGCTGAGTTGTTACAGTTCCTCTGCACAGTCTTTAAATTGGACTTTAGCCTCTTCTGCATTAATAATGTCCTGTTGTGGTAGAAGTATTTTGCCTGACTAACCGTGCGCCTCTCACAAGAGAATTTGCTGATTGTATTTGAGTTTTTTTTTTTTCTGTGACTATCTCCACAAGAAAAGCCAAGCTTTTTTTTTCTGCTCACGTGATCATTAACATTTTGTTTGTGTTCAAAGCCCTGAATCTTTGAATTCTCATGGCAGTTTATAGCCTCCAGGAATGGTCATAATTTCTACTCATAATAACTATGGGGTGATTGGCAGTTATACATACTGTCTTGATTGTTCTGTCCACCAGGTTAATTGCTCTAATACTCCTTTTGTTCAAAAGTCTACTATTTCTTTCTTTATATTTTTTAAATTCACCTCCTTTTACAAGATCTTAGATATCTCAAATAGACCCAGACTTGATTTTGCTGAAAACTTCCAGGAAATAAAAGCTAAATATGATTTAGTTCATAAACTGCAACTATCTGCCCCTTTTAAAGATTGACAAAGAATATCATAAGTTTAAATTGTAGTTTAAAGTTCAAATTAGTTCTTTGTGAAAATCCTCCAAGTATTAGATGTCATAGGAATAGGTTGGGGGATCTAGAAGTAACTGATGGTAGGGCTCAAAATCTGTTCAAAATGGATGTTATTACTTTATAACACTCCTTTATTCTTCAATGACAAGGCAAATTGAATTTCTAAACACTGATTCAAGCTGAGAAACAAATTCTGAAGAAGACAGTCCACGTTCAAAGAAATTTTAGATGCTTTGGTCAAGATAGGCTGTCAAATGCCAAAAAACAACTCAATGGGTTTCAAAACACTGAGCAGTTTTTGTTGATTCATACCCAAAGAGCCAACTTAAAAAATAGATTTTCCATTCTCTCTGTCAGCCCAAGACATCTTTAGAAAAACAAAACAAGAAACACTTATCTTAAGAATCTTTGTTTCTAGAATTATCCATTTACAGAAGCTTCCTCCTACCCCCAGCTTTTCTCTGACAGGTCTCCCAGTTGCCATGCCAATTTGTTAAAGAACTTTGAGTTGGAAAACGGAAATAAATTATCACTTTTCTCAAAGGCTCAATGGCAGATCTCCTGGCACATCTTATTAACATATCAAATTGTTAAATCTGAGTATAATATCCACTACCAAAGGAGGCAGATTATTTTAAAAATATGCAGAAGCCAATCAGTGTGCAGAACTTTTGAGATAGGGGTGGAGCTACTGTGTGGCTCAGCTTCCTAGAAGGCAGCTAGGATTATCTCCTGAGGCCCAAGATCAGCCTCTTTTAAATGACAAAATATTTCATAGGATCTCAATCTGCCACTGTTCTCCAAATGGAATTTAAGTAAATAAGCATTTGTGAATAGTGCTGTTAAGTGCAAAAATGGTTTACATTTATTGAGGTCTTAATATGGGCTGGGTACTATGTACACTGATTTAGATGAAATATTGTATTTAATACTCACAGCTACCATTTGAAATAGGTAATATTATTATGCCCATTTTGCAGATGGAAGAACTAAAGATCAAGATGGAAATGGTGGAGTCAAAACAGGAAGCCAGGTCTGTCTGATTCCTTAACCATTTATGCTATCTTGCCTATTTGAATGAATTTCTATATAATGAGAGCAATTTTAACATTTATTTCATCATAGTCCACCAGTGTCCAACACTTATAGACAGCCTTTTGAGTCATCTGCCTGTAACCTGGAAAACTTAAGAGGGGCACACACTTCCTCTGGAGGCTTACCTGGAAAAGCTCTCTGCTATGCAGTGTCTGCACTGTCCCTTGACTAGGACTGAGAAAGACTCAGCTAACCTTGCATAGAGATTTAAAAAATCTACAATGTGTTTCTCTAGTGGACCCCCTATTGGCATAGTGCTTATACCTTCACACTTGATGTGGCACTGGCCACAAAGAGCTTGAAGAGGGCTGGGAGCTGCTGTTACCATTTTTTTTTTTTTTGCTGTTACCATTTTTTATTGAAATCTGTACTTGTTCTTATTCTGTCGTCTTCAGGACTCTGGGTCCTTGCACTGTCATGCTTCATAAATGCTTGGCGTGTGCTTATACATCTTAGGCAAACCCATCCTCCTCTGCACTGCACTCTAAACATTGTATGTGTGTGTTTGTTAGCTTCCTTACCCACTAGCAGTGCTTCACGTTCAGATTTGATAGGACTGCTGTTCAGGGTCTTCTCAATAGGGTAGTCACTATCCTGGCTCGATGCACACAGTCTAGAAGCACAGTTTTCCTGTGGGAATAATACGCTTCCTGGGTCAGTTCACCTTATTTGATAACAGGTTTGATTTCAATTACACAACAGGAAACTTCTGTAACACAGCACGCTAAAAGCAATACTGTCCAATTTTGATTATTGAGTGGGAAGAAGGAAAACAGCATAAATTACAAAAACATCCCAGGCAACCCAAAGCTCCTTTATACTATGGCTTCATAAAGGAATAGAAAAAATTAGATATTCATCTTTACCAGTTTTAGTTTTCTGCTTTCATCATTCACTCTATACAAGTATCTGGAGGACCAGACTCAACATTTACTGTTTCTTAGATGCCAGGCACTGTTAGGCATGCATTATGCCCATTCTACAAATGAGAAAAGTGGGGCTCAGATAAATTAGGTAAATTGCCTAAGATCACATTGCTAGGAAATGTTAGCCTATATTTCATCCCAACCCATCCACTGTTAAAAGGACCATTTTTTCCCCCTTATTTTAGGTCCACATTCTGCTAAAGGTAAGTCCCATCTCTGAATGGAGAATCTACAATTTAGCTAATCCATTTGCAGGTAATCAACTTTTGGCTTTTAAACTAAAAACCAGAGTCTCTATTTATTGACTATCAACTCTCTCTCTCTCTCTCTCTCTCTCTCTCTCTCTCTCTCTCTCTCTCTCTCTCTCTCTCTCTTCTGATAAGGACATTATCAGTTAGGATATTCTTGACTTTATAGCAAGAAATGGCCATGACTCAAAATATCATTACTTAGTAGCATTCTTTATTGTTGCAAGTTTTCTCTTTCTGAGCAGAGCAGGCATGTTTCTTAAAAGATATTCATAAAATTCACGACCAGCAATAAAATTGAAAAATACCTCCAGATCTTTCATGGATCTTTCTTTCTCTCTTTGGGTATTGAAAACATCTTTTTTTGTATTATAAATGTGAAGGAAAGCCTTCATAATAAGGAATAAAAGAAATCACTGCTTCAATCTCACTACTATTATAAAAGGAAATGCTGGGGATATGCACCTAGGGGAGATCGAGTCGGGAAGATCATGCCTGACTCAGATTATTTGTCACTTCTTCCCTTCCACAAACTCTCAGCACAGACAGATTTCCTTCTGTTTTCTTTAAAGATGTCTTCAAAGCTTCCAGGATGCTGCCCCTGAACAAAACGAATGTTCTATGCTGCCAGGCATGTTGTTTTTTTGATTTACAGGCTTCCCGGCTGTAGTTAGAAGGGAAACCTTTCTTGATGACCTACTCAATCTTTGGCCTTTAGAATACAATTCAGGCAGTAACTATCATGCCAAGTTTGATTTAGACTACTGGCTCACTTCTAAGCCAAGGGCTGTACATCTGCTTCTAATCCCCTTAAAACATTAAATGATCTAGTAAGCCATTTCTTAAATGTGAGTGTTTAACAGATCCTGGGTGATTTAAGATATGAAGACATCCTGAGACATTCTAGCCATCTTGAATAGAAATGTAGCCTTACTGAAAGTTGACTTCAGTTTTATTATATAGCTGGCATTTAAACAATTAGAAGGCATATTGAATGGATGCTTATCACCTTAAATTTTACTAACGTATTGGAAGAGGTAGTTCTTTCTGTAGTAAAGCAGATATAAGTTACATTGTTATATTGCAAAACACTGACAATAAGTCACACTGTGGTTTACTGTCAAGCAACCCAAACAAAAACAAACAAAAAAAATCCCTTCTCACCAGAACTTATTGCTTTCCTTTCAACTTAAAATTACTTTTGCAATCTAATGTGATGGTACTTTGCTTCCTAACCTAATTGTGTCAGGTTGAAATATTTGATCGCAAATCAGCTTCCCAGAGAAGAACACTTTATAATGAACTGTTATGACTTTTTCTGAAAGTAGCTCTGCTTAAAAAAACACAGGAAAAACATATTCTGACTCACATTTTCCTGATTATCAGTTGGATCACTTTCCTTGTCCTCTTCAGCTTGTACATCATGGTGTACCCAGTGTCAGAATGGGAAACACTTAGACACACACAATATGGCAAATTTCCTCTATGTAATTTGACCTCTTGCTTCTTTAAATGAAATACTTTACAAAGCAGAAAGCTGTTTACACTAAATCACTAAAAATGCCCCATATACTAAAAATGCCCTTAATTCAATTTGTGATATCAATCCGAAAGGGTGATTTTAAGCATAATGCCACTAGCATAATCCCATGTCTATCTGTAGTCTTCTGCCTACATACTCCATTTTATGCAAAAAGCAAAACAGCTATGTATCAGCTCTGGGACATTTTAGAAACTCTGATAGTATAAGGAAAGTCCTGATAAATAGAGTAGCTTTGGTACTTTTCAATTAAAAGCTTAATAAATGAATTTCTCTGGGATTATGCTTGCTTCTTTAAGAGTACCCACAAACTGGAAGGTGAGTTGATTTTATGAAATAGATGATTTAAAAGCATACTCCAATGGCCTCCAGAAAAAAAACACTTTCAATCATTTGTTTCAACTACACCATGGTTGCCAGTTTTTAATGGCACTCTGTGGGAAGTCACTATGCTGGCACACACACCCAGGGCGCCTGTATGCATTGCATCTTTCGGAGCTGAGTATACAAAATAAAGAGCATAAGCTTTTGTGGATCTGTAGCATTGTTGATTTTTCACTCTTAGTGTAAGATTCTAATCTTCTCTTCCTTCTAAGACATTAAAATCAGTCAATTATGGTCACTGAGCCTTCTTTTTCAGAGAATAACTTCAGACATAAAAGAATGTTCAGGTATAAAAGAAATTAGAGAGGTATGATGGAGACACCATTAGTAGACTTTACACATCCTTAAATAGACCGGTCACCTCATTCATGGTTGTAATACATTAATCCACCTGAGTTTGACATGCTTGCACTAGGTGGAGTGTCTGCAAAACAATGTCAATGTTCTAGTTGCTCTGTGTTTCTTCCTTTAATGAAATGCTTAATTAAAGGTACTCTGTGTCACAGGAGTTTTCTATGTTGTTATTTGCTTGACAAGATGAAGTGTGCACTCTGGTCTTGACAAGATGAGGTGTACACTGGTCTTTTCCAAGAGAGAATACTGAGGAATTTCAGGGATGTACTGATTTTTTATTCATTGAAAAGTACACTCTCCAGAACCTTTAGAAATGTCAAGGACTCACACTTGAAAAGCAGAGCCTTTAATTCAAGAATTACCCTGGAGATGGGGCTTTTAATTCCCAACCAGCCCTACATTCCAAATATTTTCCTACTGTAGCAACTTCCAGGGCATTTTCATTGTCACTAGAAAGGAGTGAAATGGGCAAGGGAAAAGGTTCACTTAGGACTCATGTACCTTTTCTTTAAGATTTTCCAACATTTTTTCCACCTGTAACTTTTCATCTTTGATTTTTTCAAGTTCAGCATCTTTCCTTTTGTATTCCTCTTGGACTTTGAGTAGATGCTACAAGAAAAACCAAAGACAATCAGATCTTAAGGATTCACACTTCACGTTAAACCTTGGCTAAAACTCTACATTAGGCTGGTCTACCTTACTTTACACCAGCACACATAATCATTTCTCCATGCAGAGATACTGCCTGGAGAAATCAAGATACTTTTTACTTAAAGTTATTTTTATTTGGATCTTATGAACTTTCTTTGTTAATATGTTAGAGTCTGAGGAACTGACTGATCTAATCACTTAATTTTCCTATTCCAGCCAGGGGTAAGGGAAGAGTGCAGTTAATTCTGTGTGAACAATATCTTGATTGCTGCATACACTGAATTAGATGTTGGAAAGCATCCTTGCAGATAGCAATTTTCTAAGCCAAATTAAATTTCTTTGAGAAAAGTAGTAAAAAATCTAAATATCAAAAATGTTAGTTTCCATAATAGTAGGCAAGGGACTAGATTCACCATAATTTATGTTTATAACAAATACTAGCTATTTAGCATTTTATAGGTGCCAAGTATTGGGCAAAGGGTTTTACATTCATGATCTCATTTAAACCTCACAATTTTTCCATGATACATAATACTGATGCTTAGAGAGGTTTAGTGGCTTGTCTGAGGTCATTCATTCAGTGGGAAAGCTGGGATTTAGACCCAGGTTGCATCAACCCTATAGCCCAAGTTTGTAATCCCCATATTAGACTATACATCATTTTGGGACAATATGAGAGAAATTTTATAATTGTTTACAGGGCTATTTTCTAATAAAGGGTAATCAAAATGACTGAAATTAATTTTTCAGTAGCTAGAGACCAAACTGTCTCACTGAGGTCTTTGAAGTGATGAAATGAAAAAAAAAAGTAGCTCATCATTTTAAAATTGCATTTAAATTGCAGAACTATCCTTATGTGGAATGATTTCAAAATCAAGGTAAGAGAAGAAAACAACAAGAAAATGTTTCCAAAGTCTCGCTTTTCAGAGGCTTGCAAAAGACCATTGGAAGGGCTCAAAAACACAGTACAATGTACATTGTCAAAGTTCTTTGAAGTCTAGCTGAGGAGATGCAATTTTTGGTGCAAAGATCTCTGATGTAATTTGCATGTTCTAATTGAACTCCATGGTGACAGTAAAAGAAAGATAAGCATTCCTTCACACATTTTGCTAACAGGAAAGGTGAAATATTAATGTGATATTGCTTGTCATACATGAAGATAATGGTAGCATAAGTAATAGGAATATTGGGCTCTTAGTGCCAGAAGAGACTACCTATTTACAATTTGTGATTTCCAACCAGTGATAAGCTTTGCTCTAGATAATTCTAAGGCATACAATTAAAAATTATTGCACAATTTAAGTTGTAATGAAAATGAATGGTAGTCTAGCAAGATAGAAGAGGATAGTATACTTACTCAGAAGTACTACTCCTTTACTGAGAGAACAGCTGTTGATATCTTTTAAATTGTAGGTTCACTATGGTGATGGTTACATGAAACTTCCAGATATTGAACATCTATTATACAATGTTGTACTTAAATTACAGTGAGATGCACTTATTTAGTTTACTTTTTATAATTGGAAAATGTGCAGGTAAACTCACTCACATAAATGACTGTGATAACAAAATAAAATAAAAGCAAATTTGTATATGCCTGAAGCACTGATACTAAAAAACCCATAACACCTCTGCTTCTATCCAAATTAAGGATAGGATTCCTGCCATTCCTTCTAAAAGGCTGTATTTTTCAGCATTGTTTCGACTTACCCACCAGCACTTTTTCGTATCTAAGTATCTGTGGTTCTTCATAAGGACCCTGAGGCCCTGCCCAGATCTCAAAGCAGATTATGTTTGGTGTAGTTTTATTATTTTTCACTGAATGCTCATTCTTTAAAAATTGGTGATCCATTGCTACCACTGTATTAAGCAGAATATATCATTTACCACAATACATAATCCCTTCCTCACTTATGCCAGAGAACAGAATATCAAGAATTATAAGAGATTTGCTCTTCTATTTGCTTGCAGGGGACCCTTTTACATGTGAGGAGCTGATGATGTTTATTCAAAAGGTTCAGAAAACCAAAATTCATTTACCTGTTGCATTCCTTGCAGGGCTTGTTGCAGGAGTTTCAACTGTTGTTCTTTGTTTGGGTCATCTTCTTTGTGGGTTTTGCCTTGCTCTTGCTTAAGCAGTTCTACTTCATTCCGATAAGCATCGAGCTGCCAACGGAGGCTGTCATTTTCTTCCTTCAGAGCTTCTGCCTGTGATACTAAGGCTAAACAATCAATATAAACTACTGAAACCATATATCCAGATTCCTTTGCACCTCATCTTATTACCATGAAATTGACGTGTATAGAAAGCCTCTCAGTGAGAAACTTTGGGTCTGAGTTGGCCATGGCAGCAAGGGATGGACACAAGAGCACACAGGCCCATTTTTGCAAATGAACACAGGATTCCAACACATGAAAGTTCTCATCATGCTTCATTTTCTTCACCCCAATTATAACTAAGATGTTTTCAGGTAACATCAGTTGCTTTTATTTGAATTGCACTAAATGATAAGAGTCATGTAATAAGAATATATAGAGCTAAATGTCTTGAACTAATGATTGTCCACACAGTATTTCTGCTGATAGTTGTTAAAAAAAAATGTAGCCTTGACTGGTCCTACTGGGGAAAGGTAAATAAGAAAACGAAGACATAAGACTTTGGTTTTTAGTATAGCTTAGATGTTGCCACTCCGTCCTAACAAGATGTAAAAAAACTGAACAAACTGAAAACTCAACAGCCCTTCTTAGATTCATCAGGATAGTGAAGTAATAGGGCAAACTGCTACCTACAAAACTGGAGAGAGAGATAGGCGAATACAGAGTATGTCAACTTACCAGACCAGAAACCTATGAGCAAAAACCTCCACAGGAACCAGTGCTAAAGTAAGAAAATCTAAACTATAATTGGCAAATTGCTGGAGGCTCCACATGGACAAGTTTGAGACTTAAAATGTCAAGGGCAATTCAGTCATAGTGAGGTCCCTACACTTTTGTTTGCTTTGTCTCCAGGAGCTCAACAAGGTCCTCACAGTGAACAGCTGAGAAAAATCCCCTTGTACTTCCAGCTGGGGTCGGAGATAGAAACCAGTTTGTACGCCCAAACATTCTGTTCTTCTTCTTTTTTTTTTTCTTCATTCTGTTCTTCTTAAAAAGGCTTGCCTTCAGAAGAAACTATTTTATCAGAGTCTAACCTGCTTGGGTTTTGCCAGAGCCTAAATCACCTGGGGAAGGAAAATATCCAACTCTAGCTCCCTCTAGTCATTCTGTCCTACCTAAGGGGCGGCGGGAAGAATCAAAACACTTGTAAAGTTCACAGTCCAGAGACACAGGCTCACCAAAGGACTGAGACCTAATCTTAGGGCTGTGAAATGCTTCCTCTCCCTCACTACTGCTGCACTACTAAAGCCCTATTTACTAGTACATCATGTCCAGATTTTTTTTAAAAAGTACAAGGCATGCTAAAAGGTAAAAAACAAAATTGAAAGAGACTAAACTGGGATCAGAATCAGAGTCATATATAGCAAGAAAGTTGGAATTATCAGACCTTAAATTTAAAACAACTAATATTAATATGCTAGGCTTTAATGGAAAAAGTAAATAACATGAAAAAACAGATGGCTAATGTAAGCAGAGTATTGGAAATTCTAAGGAAGAATCAAATAGACATATCGGAATAAAAAGACATCATAACAGAAATGAAAAATGCCTTCGACAGGTTTATTAATAGACCTGTGGAAAAAAAATCTCTGAGCTTGAGAAGATGACAATAGGAACTGACTAAACTGAAAAGCAAAACAACAACAACAACAACAACAACAACAATAAAACACAACCAATCAGAATATCCAAGAACTGTGGGACAACTAACTACAAAAGATGTAGCATACATGTAATGAGAATATCAAAAGGAAAAGAAATAAATGAACAAAAGCAATATTTGAAGTAATAATGACTGAAAATTTCCCCAAATTAATGTCAGACACCAAACCACAGAGAAGATCAAACAGGATACATGCCAAAAAAATAAGACCTGAACAGACACCTCATCAAAGATATACCAATGTCAAGTGTCATCATATGTCATATGTCATTAGAGAATTGCAATTTAAACAATATGATATCACTACACACCTAACAGAATTGCCAAAATCCAAAACAAAGACAATGCCAAGTGCTGGTGAGGATGTGGAACAAACAGGAACTATACTACTGATAGGAATGCAAAATGGTGCAGCCACTTTGGAAAAACAGTTTGGCAGTTCTTATAAAATTAAACATACTCTTAGATATGATCCAGTAATAATTTTCCTTGGTATTTACTTAAGTGAACTGAAAACTTATGTCTCCACAAAAACCTACACATGGATTTCATAGTAGCTTTATTCATAATTGCCAAAACTTGGAAACAACCACAATAGTTTTTAGTAGGTGAATGGATAAACTAACTGTGGTATATCCAGACAATGTACTATTACCTATGAAAAGACCTGGGGAAAGTATAAATGCATATTATTAAATAAAAGAAACCAATAAACAAATAAAAAGGGCTATATACTGTATGATTCCAACTCTATGACATTCTGGAGAAGGCAAAACTATGGGTACAGCATAAAAAAATCTATGGTTTCGAGGAGGTAGAGGGGGGAGGGAAGGATAAACAGTCAGAGCACAGGGGATTTTAGGGCAGTGAAACTATTCTATATGATATTACAATGGTGGATACATACATTTTGAGCATTTGTCCAAATACATAAAATGGAAAACTCCAAGAGTGAACTCTAATGCAAACTATGGACTTTGAGTGATAATGATGTATGCACTGATTGTAACAAATGTACCCCAGTGGTGCAGGATGTCAATAGTGGGGCAGCCTGTATGGGGGGCAAAGGGTGTTTGGGAATTCTGTACTTCCTATTCAATTTTGTTGTGAACCTAAAACTGCTCTAAAATTTAAAGTTTATTAATTTTAAAAAAACTAAGACACATGGGGAAACCTAGGTTAAGTTTAATTATTTATGGTTATGGAACTTTTTCAAGGTCAAAAATCCTAAGAGCTATTTCAAAAATACTTAATCAGATGATTTCTTTCACTCATCAAAAATTTGTTGATTACCTTTCATGGTCCAGGCTTATAACTATGGAATAAATGAGATTCCAATAATCTCTATTGTTTACATTCCAAATTAATGGAAAAATTTAGTTTATTCCTCTTATGATTCCTAACACAGCATAGGCCCAGAAAAGAGACATTATCAAAATGGATCAAAATTACAAATTTATATATTCTACATATATAAAACCCTAATATGCAAATAGACTGAACAGCCGAACAACCAGTTGCTATGATGTGTGCTGACCACCAGGGGGCACACGTGGAACATGGCGGGCATCAGCTGCGGAGGGATGGTGGAGCAGGTGAGCGGTGGCACCAGACCAAGGAGGGGCACCAGTTGCTGTCATCAGGGTGAGCCTCTGGTGGTTACTGAAAATTCTTTGCTCCTGCATGCCGCTTGCACCTGCTGCCAGTGTCAGCCCTGCTCATATCTGCTGCTGGCGCCCGGCACTGGTCCCAATCGCTCAGTGCCGTCAGGGGGTGCTGCTGGCCCCAACTAACCCTGATAGCTTCTCCACCTCCTCCTGCTCCTGAGGGGTGATCAGGGCCAGCAGCCACCGCTAGCACCCGCTGCCGGTGCTGGCCCTGCTAGCACCCACTGCTGGTGCCAGCCCCAATGGCTCCACGCCATCAGTGGGTGCAAGTGGGGCCCAGCGCTGTCAGCGTGTGGGAGCAGTGGCAGCAGGAGTGGGGCTGCTGGCAGACAGGGGATCAGAGCTACGGTAGGAGGGGCTGGACAGGGGAGTAGAGGATGGGCCAGCACCTGCCTCTGTGCCCACTGCAGCCTCTGGCCCACAGTTCCTTTCAAGGTGCATGAATTCGTGCACTGGGTCCCTAGTTAAATGTATAAGAATGTTGAAAGGCAATTTGACAAAGGTGGTGATTTTGTCAGCTGCCTATGGGAAGTGACTTTGGGTAGAAAAAAGTAAAAGAAAGTAATGAAAATCAAATCTTCAAGATTATTAGTTATAAATGGTGGAACAAGAGTTTTCTAAAGGGATTTCAAAGACTCATCTTTTATACCACGAATGGAAAGAAGTTGTGGTTTACCAAGATTAAATATATAGAAGAAAGCCATATTTTGAGAGTAAAACATTCATCATTCCTAAAAGGAAGCTGTCTCTTAGGGAGGTGCTAGGTTTAATTCATTGCCTTTAACTAGAGGGTCTTCCTAAAACAATCAGGTACTGATGTAGGATGATGTGATCAGATTGTCTGTCCAAAGCAGAGAATGCCAATGTAATAGGAAGGGTCTGGTGAGAAATATTTTCTGGTAGTGCTGAGACATGCTCTCAGTGTCCACATTTGTTTTCTGTGTATGGCCACAAAATTATCCTGATATGCCTGTTTTAAAACTAAATTTTTGTTTAAAAAATTACAAAAGACATTTGGCATGACACATTCAATTGATGTTTGGTTTTAATTTCTGCTGTGATCACACAGATTTTCTGTCTTTGAAGATAAAGTTGTTATACAGAGACTTGGACTCACAGCACTCCAAATAATAGCTATCCTTGTCATCTCTCCCAGCAGCTGGGATACTTGTCATCAGACAGCATGTTCCTAATAATCACACCAAAAGAAGATGGTAAAAGTGAAAATGACTGTATATAGGAAACTATATGGAAAAAGGGACATTAACTAACTGCCAAACAGGGAAAGAAATATTCGATTTGCTTGCTGGTTCAGTACCAGGTATAGCATCTTGAGCTGGAGTTTTGCTGAATAGCAGAGGTTAGTTATTCTATAAATCAAGTGAATGCTACAGATGGAGTTACTTATTTTTGCTTTGGTTTGCATGTTTGTCCTCTGGCAAGCCACACGGTTCAATATAAAATAGCAATATTTCATCTTCCTCCTTTTGTTTCTTCTTGTACAGCAGGCCAGTAATTATGCTCAAGTCCCACAACTCATGTGGAGAAACATGGAAAGGAAGAGGGCAAAGATATGGAGAATGGTTTGAGGCATATTCTCCAGTTTAAATGTAAAAATATTTTCCCTCTGAGAAAATGAGGAGCGGATGCTTCCCTCCTGGGGAAAGGGGCATGTTGATGAGCAGAGATGAAGACCTGCTCACAGGAAGGAGTAGATAATAATCTGTTTGGACTT